TCGGAGAACTTTGACTGACCCAAGGTCACCCAGCAGCTGTATGTGGAGGAGTGTTGTTAAGAGAATAACCACAAACTGGAAGGTTCAGAATTTACTTGAAGATTACAAAAATTATTTCAAAAGATACATCACCAATATATTTAATTATTAACATGTCCAAATCTGTGGCTACTTAAATCCAAGGACTGGAGCCATGAACAGACAAGACAGATATATCTACAAACCTGAAAAGGCTATTCTGGCCTTTGAGGGAGGACTCATCAGGGCTAGGCCTGCCAGCAACCACTGGGTGACTTGAAACCCTGTGAGCTGCATGATTCACCCACCTTTGATTGATTACTATTGTTGAAACAGCAGCCACATAAAAGCCACTGTGGTATAGTGGTTAGTTTCAGATTAGGGTCTGGGAGACCCATGTTCAAATCACTGCTCAACCAAGGAAGCTCAGTGGATGACGTTGGGCCAGTTACACATTCTCAGACTAACTTACTTGGGGTTGTTGTGAGGATAAAATGGAGAAGAGGAAAATGATGCAAGCTGCTTTGAGTCACCCTTGTGGAGAAAGGTGGGGTATAAGTGAAATAATAAATATAGCTGAAGATGGGGGGGGGGGATAAAAGGTTGGTGGACGGGAAGGAGAGAACCACACAGGGCCGTGCCTCAGTGGCAGAGCCTCTGGAAAGAAGAAAAATTGGGGAAGGGGATATATATATATATATATTTTTTTAACTTTCAACTTTATATCCCGCTCGAACCCCTTTTTTCCAGGGGTCTCTGAGCGGCTTACAGGGAGGTGCTAGTCACATTATTTTCCCTAACTAGGGCCACATTTTTCCGTGGGGGATGGGACTGCCTACCGGCACCCTGTGGTGGTTGGAGTTCTTTTTCTTGACTCGGCTCTTCAGGTCTTTTCTTTTTCCGGTAGTCTCCGGCGGATGTCCCTTCCGGTGCTCGGCGAATTGGCTTGGGGTGTGCAACTCACGTCCTGCTCTGGCCTCAGAAACGTCCTTTCCAGCTCCGCTGTGCCCGAGCTCGACGTCAGCGTGTGCCCTTTTGACGACAGTCACTTGCTGTTTCTCCCGCTGCCGGCCGCCAGGGATCGCTCCTTCCGGCCTGCTCGCCTGCTGTCGCCGCCGCCTCATCACGCCGCTTCCATTGCCGGTGCTCAACTGGAGCCGATGTCTTGCCGCCGCCGCCGCCATCGCCTCCACCACACCTAAGGAGGGTGCCCCCCACCCTACTAAGGGTAGGTACTCATTTATCTACTTGCTTTAGTTAGTTAGTTAGTTGCTTTCAAACCGCTGGGTGGGCGGGAGCTGGGACTAGGGTCGGGAGCTCACCCCGACCGCGGTGGTTCTAGCCATAGTGGCTGCTCGAGTGGTGTTATTTAAAGCAGGCGTTTTACTGCCTGCGCCACCGCTCCCATCTGGATATGGGGAAAATGAGGTGCCCCCCGTAAGTCATTGCAGATTCATAAAGGTTTCATCATGGTTCAGAAAAAACTGCACTTTGTTGTGACATTTGGATGCAATGATAAGCTGTGGCTTGGATCTGTGGTAAACCTCCATAGGCAAAAGGGATTTCCATCAATGGAACTGAATTTCTTCACCGCACCCATCCTGCTGCAATCCACAGTAATCATCAAAATACTGCTCCTGGGGACAGAGGATCCTCAGGAACACCATGAGGTGAGAGGCTGGTGAAAATCACTACCCCTTCATTTTTCTCCACATGACCAAGCTAGTGGTTTTATCTCTTGTTCATAAACCAGGATTCTAAATCATGTTGAAATGGAGATATACAATCCTGGGTTGTAGACAGAAAACAAACAAACCACAGTTCAGTTTGCTTCACCCAGTTTGGATGTCACAATATACTGCCATTTTTTTCAAACCAAGATATCTTCTATTATGTACTGAGATCGAGGCAGTGTTTTGAACAAGTGATTTCTTTATTAGCTCAGAATGCAGACACTGTCAGCAAGCTGCCAAGTATTTTTTTTGTTTCCCCTTTCATGCGCATTCCTTCCCCTGCGCTTAATTGCCGCTCTGCTGCAACGAGTATCTTTCAAGGCCACTGGAGGAGTCGCTGAGGTTATTGCTTTGGCTTTAGTCGGGATGAGTCGTGGGAAGCTCATACCTGTTTTGCTTTGGGTAGCATTTGGTTCTCAAGCCTCATGGCGCACGCGGGAACCATAGTAATTGGATGTTGTTGCTATGAATGTACTATAACCTTCCATGCGCATAGTTTACCTGTCATTCCTAACAGTGTTCCTGTCCGTGCATCTATAGCTTCAAATAAAGTAAAACCTTCCTGCAAGTGTGTACTTCATTGTAGCTGTGGGTCCTGACAGACAAACAACACACAGAACGACCCAACTATATACAGTTTGAACCAGGGAAACCACACCTCCTGGAACAATAACATCCAATCAAGGATAAGTGCTTGGGCCCAATGGGAATTGTTCCCGCCGAAAGTCAGAGTCATTCCGGACTGGTGTGTTTAGCAACAGTGACCAATCCAGTTGCTTAGTTTAGGATGCTGACAGTCTATGGATCTTCTGACCGAAGCTCACGCTTTACATAGCTACACAGATAACCCAATACATAACATCTTCATTCTCCATGCTGGACAAGAAAGAAGTGTGAAGGAGTATGTGAGCCCAACTTCCTGGCTGATATCCGCATATAGTCTTTACTTGCCTGTGACATAATTTGCAGTTTAAGCGACTTCTTGTGAGGAAGGAAAGCTGCCTCTAACCAGCTTGTCATGAACACTGGTCAAGAGCTGGTTCTTGTCACTCCACTGATTACTTGCACAGAGATAATGAGCTGTGATTCTGATACAATGTTAGTTGATTCATCATACTGATTTCTTGATTAAATCTTATGGGGAATCCAAATTATACCCTCTACTATAGTTTTAGATGGATATATGGATGATAGATGGATAGACAGACATCGATATCAATATGAATGTGTGTGTGTGCATATTTACAAATGTAAAATACATTAACTAAACAATTGGCTGCACTTTATTGGTGATGCAAAATTTGAGCTGGACTGCCTCACTTTGACTAATATTTTTTTTAAATTTTATTTACATGTGACTTCTATACCGCTCATGACCCCTACTGGGTCTCAGAGCGGTTTACAGGTGGCCTACATTTTTGTAGTCAGATCCTACCTAGGGCGACAATTGTGCAGGGAGGGGTTGCCTAACAGCACCCGGACGACAGGCTTCTCTCCGTTCTCGGTGGCTCCGGCGTAGTCTCGGCGTTCCGGTGAGCAGCGACCATCAGCGGGCTGCAGATGGACCCTCCGTTGATGCACACTGCTCCTGGACTGCGGCGTTCCCGGCTACTCATCCCTTCGGGCTCCAGCCGCGCCGCGTCGCTCCGCAGTTGCGTCATCCGGTTCAGCCTCGGTCCAACGTCGTCGTCGCTCCCACGGTCCGCCACGGTGGGGCCAGTTCTGGTGTCAGCACATCATCACAAATTTTTCCACAGTTCTGGTTCACCAAGCCATTGTATGTTCTTCCTTGCTAGCATAGGAGGAAATTTTACCAGGCAGTCATACAGTCCTGCAGCTGCTGGATGACCTTGGGCAAGCTATAGCTCTGTCAGAGCTGTCCTTGAAAGGGCAGTTCTCTCAGAGCTCTCTCAGCCCCACCTACCTCACAGGGTGTCTGTTGCGGGGAGGGGAAGGGAAAGGAGTTTGTAACCACTCTGAGACTCTGAGTGAAGGGCAGGGTATAAATCCAATCTCCTCCTCCTATATATTCATGGGAAAAGTAGCAACAGCAATTCAGTAGCAGAGTGACTAATACGTTTATAGTTGTGCAGAACACTTACTATTTGACCTACTGGCCCTTTTGGTCCTAGAATTCCAATTAAACCAAGTTCACCTTCAGGACCCTAAAAATAAATAAAGATCTTTTAGCTATCTATATAGACAGTAGGATTATTTTCATATTACATTTGTTTTATAATTTAAAAACATGTCCTCATTACATATGACTAGAATTCAAATGTTTTTAAAAGGCATAATCCAGGCAAAGTTTAAACACTTGCAAATCCCATTTATTTCAATGGGAGAGCTAAGCTCATGTTACTCTCTCCCATTTAAATTAATAAACCTTAAATATCCTTAATTCTTCCAAAGTGACCATACCTTAGGACCTGGGAATCCTTGAAATCCCATTAAACCTGGATCGCCAGGTTCTCCCTGTAATATTAGGAGACAGAAGGAATTACTGTTTGGATTCAATTTATTTCTATGCTTTTTTTTCTTGGCCGAAAGGGCTCAAAATGTAGTTAACAATGAAAACAACACATTTTTAATTAATACCATTAAAACAGAATCATGCAACAATTATATAAAATAGATCATGAAACCAACCCCAAAAGGAAGAAAATCAGAAGGCAAGGCCCTTAACAACTAAGCAACATCAATTAGAATTCAAAAATTAGTTTGTTTCAAACACAACTGAAAAAAGTGATCATAGCTGGAATACCTAAAGACTATGAGGAATGGGGTACTGTGAGCACCTCTGCAAAAAGAATACCACAGTACTGGTGCAGAAAGTCATATATTATGTAACCATTCACTGCACTTTTGATGGCAGAGAAACATGGAACAGTGCATTGCCTGGGGGCCTATGTGCACAGACAGATTCACATAGACAAAGGCAGTCCTTGAGATAATCTGGGCCTGTTTCAGAACAGAAGTTCTGTGATCATATTGACTCATCCCTGTCAATAACCGAATGTCTCCAAGGCATGTAGAACTTTGGGTAGGTCTTTCCTCTCCAGGAAATGACAGTATATAATCTGATAAAAGGCACTTCTGGACCTGGCTACTAAAGAGCAAGAACAGATCCAGGAGCACACATCTATATATATATATAAAAGAAAGTCCCCTCACTGTAAAATCAACACACAGGCCAAACCCCTGGACCTAAAAACACAAAATTTGGGGACAGCGCTCCTACCGTGACGTAGATGCTCACTAAGAAGGGATTTTTAGAAATTCAACCCCTAAGAGAGTCAAAAGGGGTAAAATATTCTCCCCCCATTGCTTCCTATGTGGCTGCCAGGCTGCTGCCTCCTTGCACCCCCCACTCTCTGACTGGTCAACTGCAGAGCTCAGTGTTCTGAGGTAAAAAAAAAAAGTTACAGGAGACTGCAGAAAGCTAATGACAGTTAATGAAATCAGGAATGGTCAACAACCACCTGTGAGGTGCAGTAATGCTGCTGGCCCAGCCTCTCTGATGGCTTTCAACACACTCCCCCCCACCTCCTACACCTAACAGGCGGTTGTCTGTCAGGTGCAGCAGTGGTTGCAGGATGCTCAAAGCCACAAGAGAGCCCCAGCAGTAACGCCTTAGTGATCCTGCCAGACCCGCCTCCACAGTGGCTTCTAATACTCCTCCCCCCTCCCCCTTCTACACTGGACAGGCAGCTGCCTGTCAGATGTAGGAGAGGAGGTGGGATGCTTACAGCCTCCAAGGAGGTTTGCTCAACAGGATTACCTTAGCCCTGCTGCTGGCCCAGCCTTCCCGATGCCTTTAAATAGAACCCCCCCCCCAACCCCAGACAGGCTGGTGTCTGTCAGGTGTAGGAGCAAGGCCAGGGTACTTTAATCTATCAGGGATGGCACCCCGCAGGATCACCTTAGCGATGCTGCTGGCCCAGCTTAGCCACACTCCTACCCACAATGGAAATATACCCCAAATTTGTAGAAAACTGCTTTCCTTTATTAGGTTATTTAACTTCTCACAATGTGGGTTCTAGAAAATTGGTTCATATGAACTTGCTTAATATCTGATTGCTTGGATGGTGTTTTGAATATGTAGTTATGTCCCAGTTCTAAAATGTAACATAAATGAGAAGCATTTTTGTAAAAAAAAAAAAAGAAGAAGAAGAAGAAAGGGGGGAGGGTAATGCCCTCCCCCCAAATTCAGTGCCCAGGCCAAAACCTTGCACCAAGTAACCCAAAATAAGGGAAAGCATTCCTACCGTGATGTCAAACCCCCCATGAAGAGATGTCTGAGAAACATGACCCCTAAGGGGGTAAAAAAGGGGCAAAATATGTTCCCCCAATTGTTTTCCATGTGCCTGGCAGGCTGCTGCCCCCCCCCCCATTGGTCAACTGTGTAGCTCAGAGTTCTGAGGTAAAACCTGCCTGCTTGCACCCACCTCCCTCTTTATAAGTCTTTTTTAATTTCTTTTTTAACTAACATACAATATTTCAAACAAAACACAGTAGGTCCAAATATAGCAACGTGATACAGAGTTTCATACAAGGTGCCCCTTACACCTGTGACCCAAATGCAGTTAATAATATCTTGTATTACGTGTGGCATGAGGGAATGGTACTGTTCTTCCTAGTTGGAAGAGAAATAGCCCTACAGAATTAGCCATTTAAGGTACAGAGGATTAGAGGGAAGAATGTCTAGAGACTGTAAATAGGAAACAACTGGGTACCAGGTTGACTCGAATTTGGAGAGGAGTGGCGCGGTTGTCTGTGATCTATTGAGGGAGTCAGAGATCTTAGCCATGACGAAGTGAGCTTGTCCTGCCAGGCCGTAATTGATTTTTCAAAAAAGCCAGCATGGCAATTGAGTTAATGAATGTTCATGGGGAGATAGTAAAGGACCTTTCTAGGAGCCATTTCAATGTGTGCCTCCCTCATGAACCTGAAGAAATGTCCACCACATCACCACTCCCTCACACCAACTCCCACTCACACCTCTCACCTCTTGCTACCCCCAAGAAAGCTCCTGGCAAGCGGTGAGCCAGATACACCAACGCTACAAGGAGGAGGCAACTTAGGAATGCGGCAAAGATATTTGCATATAGTACTCCTGCGGTGCACTGAGCTGTGCAGGCCAAGTACCAGCAAGATCACCCTGAGGTGATCAGAACAGCACAGTCTCCATATGAGCAAAACAATCCAGGAACGCAAGTAGAGAGGCCATCACTTTTGTGAAAGGTGGCAGGAGTTGACTTAACAGACGACTGCTTCTTAAATGGACAGTTCTATGTGGCCTGCTCCAGACTGAGCTCACCAAGCAGCCTGGTGATCCTAGCACCTAAGGGCAGAACCACCAGTGTGGTTTACAGAGAGGTCCTTCAGCAGAGAAAAAAACCCAGTACGTATGCCTCACTTCATTTTTTATACTACAATCTTCTCCATTGAAATTTCTACAACAAATGTTACATTTCAACTTCACATCATCAGTATTAAAACTGGATTCACAGAACTTAAATACTGTAGTGAAACACGGGTACCAGGCTAGTGCTCTATATGCCCAACAACACTATTAACTACTTTACATATGACAGAAGATACATACAGCATGCCCTTTCAGGCCGGGATCTCCTGATGCACCTTGATCACCTTGTGTCCCAGGAAGGCCTCGTTTACCTTGCTTTCCTGGATGACCTCGAAGTCCTTGTTCACCCTGCAAAACAGGGAAAAATGTGTACACATCGTTTAAATAGAGGAACAGCAGATGGCCTCTCTTGAAATTTCTATATGATGTGTTCATAGATATTTATTCTTTATGCAAAGTTCCTATTAGGTCTGAGGTTCAGAATTAGAGATACTTCAAAGCTGTATAGAAAAATAACTTCTAAAGTAGATGCATTTATCTTGAACCTTATTTCCGTTTGTACTAGTTTTTCTTTTCACAGCCATCAGCGAATCAGTAACTGAAAGACAGACATTTTTGCATTGTACTTTAATGGAAAAAATAATGCAATGTTTTTCAGAATCTCTTTCCAAACCTAGAGAAAGAGCATGGTCCAATGTCCAGGCTACCAGGATGGCATTTATCCTCCTGCAAGTAGATAAATAGGTACCACTTCGGTGAGAAGGTAACAGCGTTTCGTGCGCCTTGGTGTTTAGTCATGCTGGCCACATGACCACGGAAACGTCTTCGGACGGCGCTGGCTCTTCGGCTTTGAAACGGAGATGAGCACCGCAACCCTAGAGTCGGATTCGACTGGCTTTCAAGCAAGAGAACCTTTACCTTTACTTTTTACAGATGTAAGATTGTGTCCAGGGGTTGTTTCGTAGAAAAAGAGCTAGGGGGGCTCATTAGCATAACTCATTAGCATATGCCACACCCCTTGACATTACCAGAAGTGTGTCATAAGGCCACACCCCCTGACATCACCGGAAGTGTGTCATAAGGCCACACCCACCACTCAGTCTTAGTCTTAAAGGTTAGTCTTAAAGGTGCTATTTGAACTCTTGGACTATTTTGCAGCAACAGACTAACACAGCTAATTCCTCTGAATCTAAACCCACCACTCAGGCTCCACCCCCAAAATCTCCAAGGTATTGCCAACTCAGAGCTGGCGAGCCTATCTGATGGCACATGTGGGGGGAAACAAGCAAACCACCCATGTCAGGTAAAAAGGTTTGGTGATAGATGAAGTACAAAATATGTGGCTATTCACATTCCAGTTACCAGGAGTGTTCCCTCTAAGCTGAGTTAGTGTGAGCTAGCTCACAGCTTTTAAGCCTCTGGCTCACATATTTTTCTCTTCACTCAGGAAGGAAGGCTCCAGAGGAAAACTAACTGATGCAGTAGCCAAATCACTCGCTCACAGCTTTAATGCCAGTGGCTCACAAAGTAGAAATTTTGCTCACAAGACTCCACAGCTTAGAGGGAACATTGGTAGGCAATTCCAGGGAGAAAAAACAGCTATAAACCAAAACAGCTATAAACCAAGCATGGGGGCAGATGACCACATTGCTATGGAAAATACACAGAAAATCCAGGCATGTATACTTTGTTTTCACTCCCTCCCCCCAACAATTCTGGCGGCAGCCCTGGTTTCAGCTCTCACTGAGCCCCCGTCGAGCTCGGCGGTGGAGCTGCGAGGCCGCGCCGCCACTGGCCTTGCAGCTCCACTGCTGAGCCCCATCAGGGGCCCGGCGGTGGACCTGCAAGGCTGGCGGGAGTACGAGGAAGCCCCGCGAAGGCCCCCCGCCCCCCAACGGTCCCGGCTGCCGCTGCCGGACTTGTGGCTCCACTGCCGAGCCCCATCAGGGGCCCGGCGATGGACCTGCAAGGCCGGCGGGAATGCGAGGAAGCCCCGCGAAGGCCCCCCGCCCCCCAACGGTCCCGGCTGGAGCCTCATCAGGGGCCCGGCGGTGGACCTGCAAGGCCGGCGGGAGTGCGAGGAAGCCCCGCCAAGGCCCTCCCTGGCCCCAGGCAGGCAGAGGTGGAGAGAGGCAGGGAGGAAGCAACTTACCCTCCCTCTTCTCCTGCCTCCTCCTGGCTGTGCCCCGCCCCCCGCACCTCACCTGGGGGAACTGCGATCCCCGGCGATCCCCCCGAATCGACCTCTGATTGTGTCTACCTTTCTTTTTCCTGCCCTCTACAAATATGTGAAATATAAGGACCTATACAGGATTTCTTTTTAATTTCCACTTCAGGAGGGATGAGAGCTGAATTCACCAGAATTGTCTGGTCTTGTATTCGAAAGCAAATAAACTGAGATAGTTCGGCTTATACTAAGACTTGACATTTCCCTATAATTCCTGGTTAAATATAGTGTTTTCCAGTTCATGGATTGCATCTGTCTCCTTTGAAATGGCGATACAAGTTACAGAAAGTTTACCAAAGCCTAAAAGACTTTGAGTAAACATAAGGAAATTATAAATTAAAAAAACAAATTGTTTTCAAGTCAGCCTACATGCATGCGTTTTCACTTGCATTGTGCTTTCCAAAATATAAACGTACAAGCTTTATTTAAGCTGCAATTCTGCCTTTGTTATTATTTCTGAATTGATGCACCAAAGGAGTCCAAACACAATATAAACCAGCTTATAAGGATACCATTCAAAGTACCTTTAGTCCTGGTGGTCCGGCGTTTCCTGGCATACCCGGTAACCCCTTTGGTCCCTGAGTTCCAGGATATCCTGCCAGTCCAGCTATTCCTGGGCTTCCTCTGTTACCCTTGGATAAACAAACAGCAAGTAATTTGCAATCATATTAACCACTGACTACTTGTTTTGGTCACTAAAACAAATGTTTTTACTTCATGCAAACTAGCTTGTTTCACCAATATCTAAACACACATACAGACACATTTTTATACCACTTCAACGGAATAAATGGTTGGACAATATTATTTAAATTTAGTATAAGTTATCAACATAAAAATATTGCTTAGAAACTACCTCTGCTATTTCATAAAAGTTTACAAAGCCACTGGACCTGCAATATGTACAATGAAGGACCTCTGCTGACAACCAGCCAAAAAACATGGTCCCAGCTCAAAGCAAAATGGAGTTTCCTGGAACCAATTTTCTATTGCAAAAAAGCAGACAGATTTTGCTAGATGACTAAAGCCGGATTCTTGTATTTCCATTGTGGTGTGGTTGCTGCCATACACCACAATGTGGCAAGTCAGTTAACGGAAAACACATGAGAAATGCAGATGATGTGGCTATTTCTCACATTATGTCTTCAAGCCAGAGGGAGATGTGACACTGGCGTGAGAAGTAATCATGTCATCCTTTTGTCCCATTTGGCATTTGCTTAGAGATGATACTGATGCTAATTAAAAAATATTCTATGACTAAAGATGTTATATAAGTATTACTCACGGGAAAAGCCTCTCGCCCAGGTAACCCACGTTTCCCAGGACTCCCAGGAGTGCCCTCTGGTCCAGGATAGCCAGGTGGACCCTTTTGGCCTACAGAACCAGGCTTACCCTGAAATAAAATTGAAACCTATTATACTGCCAAAAGCATCATTATTTGGAGTGAGTAGTTTATTTTTAAAAAACTGTTTATCTCCTGTTTCCTAAAAAAGCTCAAGATAGCTAATAAAACATCAATATAAATATTTTTAAAAATATTCAAGAAGGCTTTTTACACAGGTAATAGGGCTGTACTATAACAACATGGTTCAGAAAGATGCTTGGGTAAAAGGTTAGGAACTATGGACCACACTAGTGTATATGGTTTGTATTGTGCTGTCTGTTGCTGTAAGTAGGATCCTATTATATAATTTTGGCATCACTTAACATGTCTTGTTAATACTTACGCTTTGTTTCAGCTTTGTCTCAGATTTCACTAATATTAATTCTATTATAGTGCTTATGGGATATCCCATCCTGTTATGTATTGACTTACACTATGTAATCTGCTTTGAGACTATAAATAAATGAATGAACTTATAGTAGACATTTCAGTGGCCTAACAAATGCACATCTAAAATAGCATAACAGAAAAGTACAAATAAATTCAGGTGGGGCAGCCGTGTTGGTCTGAAGCTACAGAACAAAATTTGAGTCCAGTGGCACCTTTAAGATCAACGTTTAATTCTGGATATAAGCTTTCATGTGCATGCACACAAAAGCTTACACCCAGAATTAAACTTTGTTGGTCTTAAAGGTGCCAGTGGACTCATCTCCTTGTTTCCCCACCCCAGGTTCAAGGCTGCAGCCCAGCTGCCCATCAGGCAGTGGGTTCTTAAAAGGCTAGTCCATAGCAGGCTTTGCCTTAAAGGCACCATATGTGTTGCTGCTTTGGCTCATGAATACTGAAGGCGGGTCCTTGGCTATCCTCAGAGTTGGAGAGCCTGGGGGTTGCTGGCTAATCAATACTTGTGGCTGGTTAACATGTGTTTGGGACAGATAGCTAAAGGATATTGAAGATGCAGCTGGTTTATTTCAGGAGTGAGCATTACATAGCTTTCAGAACTTTTAAGTGGTTTTCCAGTATTAGTCATACACACACACTGTGTATGGCTCATATTAATGCTATAAGAGCTGTAATCTTCTTTAAGATCTTTATTCTTTCTGTTTTTATGATCCACTGATGTCACACTACATAGCGAGGACACCAGTCAATACAAACTGGTGTTCTCAATATGTTTGTAAGACAAACATTTTATTAGTTGGTGCAACTTTCCAGCTACTCTTGAGGCTAGTGGAATAGGTGGGATGTAAATATTTTCAATAAATAAGTATAGATACATCATTGTAGTAACGTATCTCATGACTAGCTGTGAGGCTCAGTTTATTTATTTTTAACATGAAGGAATTGCTTTCTGACTCAGGCACTGAAAATGACTTACAAAGTAAATCCAGTCTGAAAAATCAACTGAAAACACTTGAAATATCAATTTCAGAAATATCAAACTATAACCCACACCCAGGCCCATAGCTACCATAGGGCATCTCGGGGCTAGGCCCCCTGACCTCCTCGGAAGGCCCCACAACTTCCCATCCAGTCCAGGGCCTCCAAGCAGCAGCAGAGGTGGGGAAGGAGTCAGGTAATCCTTTATTTTGATTGCCCAGTGTCCCCTAAGAAATGTACATGCCCCCTGACTAAAAAAATCCTGGCTATGGGCCTGCCAACACTACTAATTAAGTACGATCAGATGCCACTGAAACTCAGCTGGAATATAAAAAGCATCAGTCTGTTTTCTGGAGCAACCGTTCTTGCAAGGAACACTGCTTAGAGCTACAGCGTCAGAACAGAGAAAAGCTTGAAAAGAGTAGAAAACAGAATCTTTCTAAAGATCAGTAGCCAAAGCATGATAATCAAAATGAGAGCATCTGAAAGCAGACATTCCTAAATGTATATTGGACCCAAAACAGTCCAGCACAGTTATAAAGAGGTTGCCTGCCTCTGGATTAACTCAGTTCTAAAAATTCATTCCCTTTTCAGTAAAGTTATAGCAAATTATAACTGTCAGAGCAGGAAAATCCCTGAGGCTGCCATATATGGACTCAGGGAGGGGACAGTTCTGAAGAACAAACAGAATCAAAGCAGAAAAATCCATGAGTCAATAAAAGCAGACTGTTTTAAACTTCAGTTGGTCTCTATTTATTTTATAACAACTGCATATGCATTGCAGACCCTGCGAAGAGCACGGTTATAAGAGGCAAAAAAGGCTCTTGGTATAATTAAAAAAGAATGTGTATGTACCAAGTTGAATGAGCTAATTGAATTTCATTACTTTTTGTTTTTTATGAAGAGCATGCTGTTTCCTGCATTAAGCAATTTGGATCTGCCTTTGCACTACTTGATATCTGAAATGTAATAACATGATGAACAAAACAGTCTGTTTACTTACAGGCATTCCAGGTTTCCCAGCTTGACCACTCATTCCCTTTTTTCCAGTGGGACCCTGGAGATTCCAAAACATCTGTTAGCTGACAAAGCTGATGAAACTTAACAATAGGTCAGAAGCCTGCATTTCTCTGTCAGGGAGCTTAGGGGTGTTTGCATGATTTGTTGTTATATCAGTGTCAAAGAATGACAATCACTTCCATTAGGAGTAATCTATGATCACGAGTGGCTTGCAAAGTCATACTCTCTCTTCTAGCCTCTTGCGTTTAGCAAAACACTGGACTGCAATGCACGGATTCAAAAACCATATCACACATACAAATGCATCCACCCAGTCACAATATTGGGTGCTATTCTACTTGGGGACCAAGGATGACTGAATTGATTGTGTCATTTATCACAATATTGAGTTCAAAACCATAGGAGTAGTTTTAGCTTTTGCTAGTACAGGAAGATCACACCACAAGGAAGTCATGCTCATGAAACACAGTCTTCATGCAAAAATGATGGGTCACTGTCAGCTGGACTTTGGTCCCTTTGCTGCATACTGCAGTTTACCCTCTGCTCTTTGCACGTTACCTTCTATGCAAGTTTAATTCCTTATTTTAAAAATGTATCTTTTTACATGTCTGAAAACTACATAGCTGTTGAGCATTTTGAATTTAATATTATCTTAAATATTCCCACTAAGTCGTAAAAGATTTATATTCTCAGCTTTTCAAAAAGCATGTTGTTCCACTTAATCATTGCCAATTTCATCAGCATGTTCTTTTTCATACATGGAAACCCCAAAGTATAAATATCAATTTGATCATCATGCTTCATTGTCATTTGAATTAAAAGCCCCAACTGCTCAAATGACATTATATGTACAGAAAGATCACATTGGTTTGGTTCACACAGTTGACATGGGGCAGTACAGGCATACTTGTGCACAGATCCCAATTTCCTGTGGTATTTTCATGCCTTTTTGTGGTGGAATTCTCAAGAAAAATAGGCATGTATCCCTTTGCATCATCCATGAAGTATGTGGGATGGTACATGCAGGTGTACTGCCCCAGAGCATACACATGGAGATATACGTTTGACTTAGTGCAAGTAGATAATGTGGTCTTTTTCTTGTGTTTCCACTTGTGCCAGGAATGCAAGAAAATGGTAGCCACTGAAATTGTTAAAGATTTTCTGTTCCTTGGCTCAATCATCACCCAAAAGAAACACTGCAACCAAGAAATCAGAAGGAGATTGAGATTTGGAAGGGCAGCATTGAAGGGACTACAAAAGATCCTTAAGTGTAAGGAAATGCCAAGATCAATATAATTCATACTATGGTACTCCCCAGTACTGTGTATGGATATAACAGCGGGACAATGAAGAAAGCTGAAAGAAAGGAAATTGATTAATTTGAAATGTTGTGTTGGAAGAGAGTTTTATGGATACCACGGACCATCAAAAAGACAAATAAGTGGGTTCTAGATCAAATCAGATCTCTCCCTAGAAGCTAAAATTACTAAACTGAGGCTATCTTACTTGGATCACATAATTAGAAGATGACACTCACTGAAAAAGTCAGTAACACCAGGAAAAGTTGAAAGCAGTAGGAAAAGAGGGAGATCCAGCATGGGATGGATTCCTCAATAAAGCCACAGTTTTCAGTTTGCAAGACCTGAACAAGGCTGTTAATGATAGGATGCTAAGTAGGAAGTCACTAATTCAGAAGTGACTTGATGGCATGTAACATACATAATATATAAGGAGGAAAGTGCTAGGTTTGTGAAAGAGCATGCAGAAGCAGACCTAAGTCCATTCATGTTTCCACTTGTTCATCACTGGATCCAAGCCAGTGGGTTGTTTCCTATGACTTCATTTCAGTGATGGTGGAGCTTTCCTCCTGCAGAAGGAGTTAATTATACGAAGGGAAAACCCTATTGTCAGTGGAAGCAATTCACAGATTCCAAGCCTGTGCAAACTGTCAGTTTTGTATGAATCTATTTAAAATGAAAGCAAATAATTTATTATTTTGACTCCTTTTCTATGCAATCAATATAGTAGGAGCGGCTCAATATTTCTCATGTTACTAGTACAGCTTTAACTGCAGTTTTAAGACGTACATTTTCCATGAAGCCTCTGGCTGTTAAACTATTTTTAGGAATATGACTGGAATATTATATTTCAGCCTAGGGAGCATAATGGAAAATCTGAAAGGGGACAACACAAGTTAAAGGGTTTTCTTTTTTGGTTCTATATTATGTATGTGCTGCCAAATGTTAAACATCCTGCAATCACAGGGGAAGCTTCATATAGCTACTGAGATATGTAAGCTAACAGAATGTGGTTTTGCTTTCAGTCGCAGATTATCACATATCCATCACAAAATAATTTTACTGGAGCAGGACTAGGTTGAAAGTAGAAGTCTGAAGGTGAAACTGGTTTCTCTTCAGATCGCATAAATCTTAACTCTTTCACCTTTTATTAATTTCAAAGTGCAACATTTATACTTGGTCCTTTGGACTTGTCACGACTCAGGTGGGGTGTTACCTGACACTGCCACCACTCTAGATTTAGGTTCCCTTGAGAAGGCCCAGAGTACCCTCCCAAGAACTTCAGACCTCCCTTTTGGCCGAATAATAGGCGTGAGGACCAGGCAGAGTGAAACAAGAAAAAGGTTTATTTTATAGGAGGTCAAACAACAAAGTGCAGAATAATAACAGTAAGTGGGTGGGAAAAAAAAGAAATATGGCCCCGGTCACATGGGCAGGAAAATGCAGGGGGGAAGCGTGGCTGTTTGCCCCGGAGCAAAATAATGCGCGGTTGCGCGATCAGACGTCCCGTAGAGGTCCCGTCAAGGTCCCGTGGTTAGGGGGGAGGTGCCGATCACAGGACAATCCTGCGGCGTGGCAAAGAAGCGGCCTCTCTAGCAAAAGGCTCCACAGGTTTAACCCCTTCCAGGGCTGCAGAGGAATGCAAACTGTGTCCTCCGTCCGTTCCCCTCCAAGAGGAGCTTCAGCTGGGCTGTCCTCCCGCCACGCCCCCCTGAACCTCCCCCGCTGCTGCCTGGTGCAGAGAGTTCCTCTTGAGCAGGCCGAGCCAGGAGTGTGTGGGGGGTACGGAAAAGAGGAGGGGGCTGTGTTGTTTGTTTTTAAACGAAGTGTGCGCATGCGCCGTTGGGTGTTTGTGCGCATCCCGTGGAGACTTGAAAAAAAACGTTTTAGCGATGGGACATGGGCGGGCGCCGGATGCCACGACCTACCACCGGAAACGTGATCAGGCGCCTGCTCTTGCCCCGCGGTTTCCGGAAACGACTAGTTTTTTACCCCGCATCTTCGGCGGGAAGCCTCAGGTTCGCCACGAGAGCTCTACGCTTCCCAGATGTGGCACTGTGATCGCGCCCGGAAAATCCGCCTATCTTCCGTCTCTGTAGCGTGGCTAATGCTCCGTGTGACCGCAGCCTAAAACGCCCTAACGCGTCTAAATTTACTTTCCCTAGCTCACTATCTCAAGTGGCTTTACACTACTCACCCCTCCCTTAGGATGAGGGTTTTTCCCCTGCAGCAGCCTTTCTTCTGGCTCTGCCCTCTGGAAGAAAGAACAGCTTTTGCTGCTGCTCCAGAACTTTTATTCCCAGCCCTCCTCTTTTCCTATTGGTCCATTTTGGCTCCAAATCCTCCCAGGGGCTTCTGGGAGTTGTAGGCCCAGCCTCACCTACTGCTAGCCAGGCTCTCTGGGCCTAGTAGGCCTCTGGTAGCACAGCCCAGATTATGACAGGACTGAACCCCAAACTCATTGCTCCAAACACACAGGCATCGTGCCATAGCTGTGCTTTCTTTACAAAGGAGTTTAAATGAATGTGAACAGTGGTCACAGCCACAAGAACCTCTATAAGACTTGAGCATGCCAAGTACAATTTGAGATTTTTTTCTTCATATAACTTCCTCTCCAAATTGCTGCTTCTGAAATTCACACAAATGCCAAGAAGTAGCTTTCTCTTTGGTTGCTATTCAAAACAAATATAAACCAAAAGGTCTGAAGAGCATGCAGAGTAAGTTGTGAGGGTCTCTGTTTGGTGGTCTCTTATCATCTTGAATATTCTTTCTCAGCTATTTTCCTAAGCTGACTTCTTTTTAAGAATGCAACGTTATTTATTTATTTCCCCCAGAGAAAGAACACTTCAGACCACAAAAGAATTATTCAAAACTACAGACACGAAGCCAGAAAGGCAACTGCTCAAAGAACTTCAACAGCTGGTTTCTACTAGCCTTGCTCTATGAGTTATCAAACAAGTACCATGGCACAAAGGATCAGGTGCTAACTGCAGCTAGGGCCAAGGGCCCAACTGCTTGTCCCACCACACACAATCCATCAGCACTGCTGAGCCAAGGTTGCTCTTGGCATCCTAAGCAGGGGAATGACAGGACTTGCTTGTAGTACACTTTTATCCTGCCCTGCCTTCAAGAAGCTCAGGAGCAAAGTATGCAGGATAAGAAAAGGGCTACGGTGGCCCCTGCCACACGGGAGGGGGGGAAATACGGCCAAAGTGTGGCTTTTTAAAGCTGCACCAAAAGAAACATGCAGCGGCAGGTTCACATAGATCCCCTGAGCCACCGCGCAGTTCCTCCCTGGCACGATCAGATGCCGGGGGGGAAGCTACTGAAGGGAGAGCGAGGCTGCCGAACTGCGCATGTGTGCGCGTGCGCAGTTTGGCCGGGAGCCTGAATTGCTCCGGACGATGGGCGCAGCGGCGATCCCACGGCCACGCTTGCTGCGGTGCTTCAGGTAAATCCTCCTCTGTAGGAGGTTCTTTTTTGCAGGGGCTTTTTCGGGTTTAGGGACAGATCGGGGACGGGTGCATGCTGCTTCCCAGATGTTGCGGTGAGATCGTGCCCGTTTGCTGCGCCCCCGATCCGTCCCTCTCCCGGGCCAAAATCTTCCGTGTGACCGGGGCCTAACAGTATCAGAACTGCCACTACATCATCTAGTCCAGCATGTTGTTTCCAATGGAGGACAAAGGTACATGCAAGGTATAAAACAACACCTGCACCTTCTTTATTATACAAAATGTGACTTATGAGGACAAGAGTGAGGATTCTCCAGCAGCAGCAGCAGCAGTCTCATTACGGCCTTTACTCCCCAGAAAACTTGGCAGGCCTGCTCAGTTTTAATATTTAAAAAACTGTTGACAACTTTTTAATTATTATTTCAGAAGGCATTTGAGGGTTAAGACTTAATTTAATCTTGGATTGTTTTATTTGCTCATTTAGTACTTCTAAAGGCATTAGGAGTTTAACTGTTAATGCTGACAATGTATTTTATTATGTCATGAGTTACCTCAATGATTCTGCAAAACAATACCATACACTAACAATGCCATCAGTAAATGAAAGAGGTAGTCATTAAAACAGTTACACAACAGAGAAGGGGCTTAACCCTAGGTTTCTCAGATCCAAATCCAGCTTTCTATCCACAGGACTGCCCTGCATTCCGACAACCTGTTTATGGGACATCCTATGGACAGTCAGACTTAAATCAGAGGCTGGCATAGTATTATACTGGCTTCGGATTAAAGAAAGGGGCTGGTAGTAAAGTTTCCCTGGCAATGATATAGAACCATCTGGTTCTGCCTCCAGTGCCAAAGAAAGGATGCTGTGGTAACTCCAACAACATAAGCTACCCCTTGCCTTGTCAAATTCCAGAGATGGGAATGGGCTAACATGGCAACAAAGACATTTATGTCACAGTAAAATTCTTAATCTTTAAAGTACCAAGTATCTTTAAAAAATCAAAACAATATATTCTCTTGTTGTCTCTTTTGACTTACTCGGGATCCCCGCTCTCCTTTTGGTCCTGCTTCACCCTGTTCGCCTGGCTCACCCTTTGGGGAGGGAAAAATCCATTAAAAATGAACAAAAGTTATAGGTTGTCCCATAGTGAAATATACAGACATGCAATTGCATTATTTAAAAATTGAGAACAATGAAGAGAGCCCTCTTTACAGTACACTTACCGGTGGTCCTTGTTGTCCAACAGCACCTCTGTGTCCTGGAAGTCCTAGGTGACCCTAGAAATAGGAGTACAACATATTACTGGGCAGGCAAATGATAAGAGATTTCCAGTGAAAATTTGGGTGTCGAAGTGTGCTCCAACATGTTGATTTCATTGCAGCATAAGTTGGTAAGACACTTCACTCGTCTTTCAGCTATACCTTATTCAAAAGTCCCAAAACCTCCACTGCACTGTATTGTATTAAAAATACAATAATACACTGCACTGTATTGTATTAAAAATACAATAATATTCAACCCATGAACACATAAACCTTGCCCCTACTCTCGGTCTTCCTGTTCATCCATCCACATTTCATCAGCATAACACAACTAACTCTGCTTTATTTCTGACAGGTTCAGCCTGCAAAAGTACCATTTTCAGTACCCACAATCACTCATGGGTCAAACGTCAGATCTGTTTGCCATCCACAAATTGAACAGCTGTTGAACGACTTTGTTGCTACACAATAGCTGTGGTGGTTGAGGTTCAATGCCTGCCTTACAAGATGCATTTGCATATATGTAGCAGTTGAAATCAGTTCTTCCCTAGGGTCACAGATGGTCAGGGGACATTAGGATATGAAACAGGGGATACTATGGCTCCAGTAAGTCTGTTTGAAAATGTATATGTGTGAAATTACCTTGAAGATAATGTGGACTTAAATGAACCTGGCTAGAATTGTTTAAAAATATGTTTATTTATACTCACTGGCTGATTGATTTGCTCGCTTTATATTGTGTAGTGGGTTTGCCGCATGTACGAAAGACAAAGACTGGCATAGTGCATAGCACACTTTATTGGTACACAACAAGACAAGGGACTAACGGCCAGCTGGCCAACTATATACACCCCTGGGACACACCCCTGGGTCCCGTTGGTGGGTTTGAATCTCCCGCCCCGGTTCCCATTGGCCAGGACAAGAGTGGAGGGACTAGGAGCCTAGTCCCTATTGTTCTCCCAGAGTCAAGCTCTGGGGTAATCGCTGGCCCTAGTGCTGGTCAGCGGACACAACACTTTATTTATGCGATTGGCTACTGAGTGGGAAGCAGAGAAGGCTATCTGTGGATGAGCAGGAAAACTAGGAGTCTTATCAGGCTGTGTGGGAACATGCATGCATACAGTACTGTCAATGGCATTATATCATACTGGATGAATATGTGAAAAGTAGCTCAAAAGAGTCAAATTGTTTCTGATCACCAACTAGCTCAACTAATGTCATGCTCAGTGGTCACCAGCAGAAGCCAATAATTCAGTGAGCTGTGCAGGGCCATCTGGACATATTTGGATCCATCCAGTTTGCACAATTAAGCTGCTTTTTTTTGTACAAACAGGCTGCTTTTTTTTTTTTTTTGCAGCCACCATCCCCACACTCGGCTGCTGTCACTGCCTTCAGTTTTTAAAAAGCACATAAGAAAAAAAAGTCTGATTATTTTTTAATTGACACTTACTAATTAATTAATTGTCTCTGTGTGCCTTAAGTGTCAACTCATTATCTCAGCTCCATCTGCTATCAGTTCTTATGATCCCTCTTTAAACAGATGCGGCTGACTGGGTGGGTGAAAAAAGCAGGAAAAAAAGGAATGCCAGCCATTTCAAGGAAGCATCTGACAGCACAGGCACGAACAGGGGGCAAACTGCAAGCAACTCTGTGTTTTGCAATACAAATCAGACAACCTACTGATTCAATCATGATCCTGGAGATTACCACCTCTTCTCTGGTAAATGAGATTATTTAATTCTTGGGCTAGGCAGAAGTGGACACAAGCAACAATTGCAGCACCCAGTAGCATAAGTGGCTGCTGAACATGCACAAAGCTGCTTGGCATGGTATTATGCTTGAGGTAAACTTTCACCAGGAAACACTGGGGCAATCCAACAGATCACCTCACACATAATCAAGGGAGTCCAAACAGGTTAAGTTTGCCAAGTAACTGTATTTGTGGCTAAGTTCTCAGCTTGTCTAATATGAACATAGGGATAAGAGTCATACTAGTGGTCCTTGTAGCACAGAAAATGTTTCCCATGTGTTTAGCTGGAGGTACCAGGGACTGAATCGGAGTCTTTCTGCTGTACCACAGGCCTTTCTGCAGCTTTTCTTTCCCCTGAGAAGCTCCAGGTTAGGTTCTTATGTTCCATTTTAACCACAAAACAGCCTAGTGAGGTACACAATGATTTTACCACCAGGAGTGAACTTAGTGGCTCAGGAGAGATTTGAACTCAATTCTTTATGATTCAGGTCCTTCTGTTCTCTATGCCCCAAAGGCTTCTGAACATTGGTTCCAGGAAAAATGTGGAAATGGCATATGGGAGGGTTAATACTCTTGCCCAGCACTGCAACCCCAACTCGTTCTTTAGCCTTTAAAAAGTGGGAGTTCTTAATTATGGATCTCCCAGTTTGTATCTAGTTTTGTCTTGAGACTTTTAAAAAACTGCTCTTTCATCGAGCATTCCTTCAGTGATTTCTCCTTCCTGCCCTGTGCTTTAATTGCTGTTTTTATGTACACGTATTTTATTGTATATATATTGCCCTGACCTGAATAGTCTGATCTTGTCAGGTCTTGAGAGCTTAGCAGGACTCAGCCCTGGTTAGTACTTGGATGAGAACCCACCAAGGAAGTCTCAGGTTGTTATGTAGAAGCAGGCAATGGCAAACCACCTCTGAACATCTCTTGCTTTGAAAAACCTATGGGGTTGCCATAAGTTGGCTGTGACTTGATGGCAAACCCCCCCCCCCCCAAACAACTGTACTGCATGTGTGTTTACCTTGATTTTAAGTGTTTAAATAATGTGTTTCTGTTTGGTTTTAATGGCTTTTAAGATATGCTTTAATTATGTATGTTTTTAATCTGTTAGCTGTTAGGGATACATAGTTTGTAAATAAATAATAAAACAGACAGGTGCAGAACATAAATACCGAACCAAAAACCAAAGTATGTATTTACCTTGTAACCTACATCACCAGGTTCTCCTCTATCTCCACGTTCACCAATAGGACCCTTAAAAAAATAAAAAAGAGGCCTGATTTTTTTAAATTGTCATTTGAAATATAGATCAATTATGGAGAAAAATATAAATTCGAAAGAAATAACAGAAAAAGGGAAGGAAACAAGGGATGCTTCAAAATTCTATATGTGAACCATTTACAGAACTTCACTGATATGTAATTTTGTAATTAGCTCTATATTAGTAAATGATTAATTTGTTTATAGCCACAGTACATGAAGTACTGTCTAAAATTATTCATAATAACGACAATTTGAATTTTTAAATTTCACAGGTTTAAAAAAGCAATAGTTTGCTCCCACAGAACATGGTGGAAAAGTCAAAGACATTTAACAATCCTTAACATTTATGTAGTGTCTTAAGCAATGCTCCCTCTAAGCTGTGGCGTCTTGTGAGCAAAAATTCTACTTCGTGAGCTACTGGCATTAGAGCTGTGAGTGAGCAATTTGGCTACTGCATAAATTAGTTTGCTCTGGAGCCATCCTTCCTGAGCTAAGACAAAAATCTGTGAGCCGGAGGCTAAAAAACTGTGAGGTAGCCCACACTAACTCAGCTTAGAGGCAACACTGGGCTTAAGGAATTCACAGATATTATTTCACTGTTCCTGTCAAGAGGCTGTATTGTTGTTTCCATGTTGCAGTTGAAAAGTTAATTCTGAGGCGGGGTCAACGACACAACGATGGCGGACGCCTTTCCCAGCTTTCTGGGGAGGCGTACCACACAGCAGCGAGGGAGAGAGGCGCAGCTGGCTCTGCGCTTCCATGGGAGTTCAGGGAGAGCTTCCAAGCCATAGGGCTTTGAGGGTGAACCTCTTTTCCTGCTGACGGCAGGGAAATGGAGGCTCCCCTCCGCCCTGACAGACCCTCTTGCTGACTGTGTTCTCTTAGCGAGACCACAAGCTGTGTTGACCCGATCAAGCACAGGAGATTTAGCGGAAGAGCAATTAAGTGCGAGGTCAAGATAAGACCAACAATGAACTGTGAGTTAAAGAGCGAATTGTGAGTGAAATGAGCGATTTGTCTTCAGAAGATAAAATCCCCTCCCCCTCAAAGGAAAAACTTTCTGAGCGATAGCATGCTGAAGAGGGACGCTTCTCAATGCATTTGCATAAAAAAGGAGGGGGAAGGAGAGAGAAACGATTGTAAATGGATACATGTAGCGAAATCCCCCCCCAAAACCCCTTAAGCGGTTGGAGGGGGTGCCTCTTTGAAGCGTTTAAATAAACGGAAGAGGGGAGGTGGAGAAAGACAGTTGTAAGCGGATATTTCTGAAATACTTTATTTGCAAGCAAGTAAACCTGTTGTGGGAGATTTCCATGAGCTTTTAACAGCGTATACGATTTGCAGAGCCAGGAAGAAAGATACTTTATTGAAACTAAAACGTTGAAGCGACAAATATTTCTTTTTAAAAAGAAAATAAGATGGCGAAAACTCTGAGAAGAAGGGAAGCTGACATCACTGCACTAGTAGCAGAAGCCATCAAGCCGATCTTGGAGCAGCTTGTTGGTATTAACCAGCAACTGGCCAAGATAAATCAACAGTTTGTGTCTCGGCAATTCCAGGAGGCGAGTGCAGAAAAAATGGAATCGAGGACTCTCAAAGCGAATGAGATAGACACTAAACTAAGCAGCGATCTCAATGAGAAAAGAAGAAAAGAGAACAAGAGCACAAGAGAAACAGGAGAAATTTACAAGGAGTTAACTTCTTCTCTGCGTGTGTTCTTAGAAAGTGTCATCTTAAAGTCTGCTGAGAAAAAGGAGCTGGAGGTACCCTTCATAATCAAGAAACCTTTGAGAATCCACTGGACCCCGAGACCAGAGCGAAAGAGGCTTAAGACTAGCGGTTCTATTCCTTTGGATGGAAGACGATTGGGCGGCAGTGAACATCTAAGAAGATATCAAGAATTTAGAGAGTTTTAGTATAGATGTAAAGGTGGAAGGACTTTGCAAATTGCTTTTATGAAGCGAGCTGGAGGAGATGCTCGGGAAATCTTCTCATAACAAGTAACAATCTAACATATAAGCTTAGAAAGACAGGATCTCACAAAGTATATTGTTTATTAACAGCCTTTTCTTTTACTAACAGTATTTTAACAGGGAATGATCTCCTAACCTTGGTTTCTTAGCTTAGTGTGGGTTATCTTTTCTTTCCCCCTTAATTGTAGTCCCCCTATCCCCAACTTTTCTTGAGAGTTTATGTAGTATTATAAAAAAATAAAAATAAAAAATCCCCTCCGGGGGCTTTAAAAAAAAGAAGAAGAAAAAGAAAAGTTAATTCTGAGAATATTGCCTTATTCTAGGCCACCTAGCAGGGCAAGATGAAAGAGGTAAGATTTGAAACAGGGAAGTCCTTGGTTCATAACTCACACACTTTGTTGGTTTACTACTGTGTTAGTATTTTCATTTACTATTTTAATTCTGACCTCCAGGATCACCTAAAAATGCCACAGGGATCACTTGTCAATCAAAAGGGGAGCATCCATTGGTCTAGAATTATTTTTTGTCTGAAAATGCACACAGAATACACATACAGAACATACACAGTGAGAAAGAAAGTAGACCACAATAGGATAGAATGTTTATTGCGGTCAAAGACCATAATTCAGCTAATAGAGTTAATGTAACAGCTATAAAATAATATTTCTTGTGGCAGTGTATGTTATAAAACACTAAATTTGTGCAACTCCAGGCATAACTTTGTATTTTATAAAAGCTACACTGTGGAACTACACTGTGATGATAGTGTCCAGAGGCAAGTATATGTTTTTGGAGAACACCATTTCCTGCCTCCTATCTGGAATCACTTATATAGTTTTCTCGATAAAGAAAGACCTACTGTTTCACCTATGGGCCCAGGTGATCCCAGTACTGTGCTGTCTTCACCAGGGTAACCCTACAACAAAGATAAATCAATTATTGGTCATCAAACTTGAGTGAGTCTTTAGTAAACTATACACTAACATCTGAGATGATTTCATAACACTCTACTGTAAACAACTGCATATTTGCAGCATGACAAAGAGTAATATTAGACAACAAATACTGAATGTAGACCTTTAGTAATTTGTACATTTATGTCACATTAATACACACACACACACACAATCTAACTAGTTACTTCCACATAAGGACACTTTTGTGGTACTGAATGATTCCTTTTCCCTCAGTAATATGCAAGCAGAACTGAATGGTAGTTCTACATAGACTTCAACATAGTGCTGTATTCCACCTGTACAAAATCATACTATTATGCTTAAATCATGTGTCTTTCATTTTAAGTAAAATTAGGTTGCTTCCTCATGGAGATCTTTCTCTGCACCCCTCCCCCAAACAGCAGCATTTTGGGAAGGTTTCTGCATGATGATGAAGAAGAGTTGGATTTTATACTCCGCTTTTCTCTAGGAGTCTCAAATGTTTAAACGTTCAAGCGCACATATAGACTCCAGTCCTTGGTAGTACATCACTGATTCATTTTGTTTGCTGTTGGGGGGGGCTGTAAAAAAAGGGAGTACGGCGAGTCCAAGTGGGGGCGTTGATTCAGCCATGTGCATTAAAAAAACTTGTGCCGCTCAAGTGGCAGTGCAGCTATCTAGACGGTGCCCAGAGCCTTGTCATGCAATGCAGTTCAGGGAGGGATGTGTGATCATCCCAACCCAAAAACAATATTCCCGATCAAATCTATAGCGGGAACAAATCACAATAAGCTTGCAGTGTGACCACAGCCTAAGTTTCTTGCAGATCTATGCTTGTAACTTCTTATTTTGAAGAACTGCATACTTAATGCTTCACAAATATACAAGTGTAATCACAAAAGGAGAGCTGAGTGACACAGACTTTGTATACAAAAGGTTGTAATAGGAAGTGTTGGGAAAGGCCTCTTTTTTCCTGAGTCTCTGGAGACCCACTACCAATCAAAATAGAAAATCCTAAACTAGATGGGCCAATAGCATGACTTGCAATACGGTAGCTTTATATGTGTGATGTCAACCAAAATTCATTAATCATCAGCACTCACACAGGTTGATTATAAACTCATGGATCCATGTTATAAACAGAACCAAGCTATGGATTCCTGCTACTAGAAATCCATATTTAAATTTACCTGGTATATGAATGTATCTTCACACGAATCAGGGGAGGTACCAGTGAATAACCCCATTCTAATGGATAGCAATAATTTCTAGTACAGTATCTGTAGTAAATACACATACATTGCCAGACTTCATACCTTCTCTCCTTTGGGTCCTGGAGGGCCAGATACTCCTGGTTGACCTTGATGACCCTAAGACAAGGAACAACTAAATGTAAAGTCAGCTTTTCCTGGCCATTGCCCCAACACTCCTCTCTTTCTCTCAGGTGCATATGAACATGCACAGAGTTTGTAGTATACAGAACCCCAAGTATGCTGGGGAATGGATGGGGATACAAGGGTATGCAAAATGTTCAAGGAGGAAAACAAGGTTGCTGTAACTGTCATTCATTGAGTGGTCACCTCTGCAGTCACACATGGGTACTGTGTACGTGCAAGCCTATCACAGAGAGGTTTTTGAAGCGCAAAAAACACCTGAGGACATTCAGTCCTACTCCCCCACACTGTTTCCCACCTTTCACAGTGTGATAAAAAGGGGGGTAGCGCCTTTCCCTCAGTTCCTCTCTGCCACTGCCAGAGTGAGGTAGAGTTGTTGGACTTAATTAAGAGCTCATAGTGGGGTAGGACGGAAGAATGTGTGACTGCACAGAAGACCACTTGATGAACAACAGTTGAAGGTAAGTGCAATCCTGTTTTCATTGTCATGGTACCTGTGCAGTCCCACATGGGAGAGTAGCAAGCTGACTTACCAGTCTTAGAAAGTTAGGTGTGAGCTCTCAGTTGAATAGAAACTGCAGGACTGCACTTCTCACTGCCACATCTCTTGTGGCATCTATATCCATCAAAAAATGCTTTGGGAAGGTGCAGGAGGCAGACCATGGGAGTTGATGGAGAGACCATGGTGAGGTGAATAGCGCTCAGGTAAAGTGAGCATAAAGCTTCAGTGGACAGTCAACTCACACTAGTTTATAACATAGTGACTATCCATCTGGAAATGGACTGCACTGACACTTTCTTGCTCATGTTGGTGTCTAGGAAGGAGATGAAAAGGGTTTTTTTTCCTGAAGGGTTTAATTCTCTCAAGGGAGATGAAAAGGGTTTTTTCCGAAGGGTTTAATTCTCCCATATGCCTGAATTGGAGGGGGATGAAATGAAATTCCTATTATGAGATTGACACAGTCCAGCAGTGGAGGGACCATACCACCTCTGTTGGGATGTTTAACCTCTTTGATTGGTGGTGATAAAGGGGGTTGAAATTCCTGACAAACCAGAACTGCAGAGGATGCACATGTAGCCTTGCATAGGGTACCACTGATATGGTGGAGGCCATCCTAGCAGTTTTTGGATTTGTATAACTGGATGAAAACATAATTTCTGGGAACACAGTATATTAGTCTGATTGCCAGGACCCTTTTTGGCTATAGTGAAATCTAACGTGGCTCCTATGGATAATACCCTCTGCATGAGTTCCAACTTGGATTCTTTGCATTGACCCATGGGTACAATGCCTTAAGTATCCTTAGTATGAGGCATAAGTCTGCTTGGAGTTTCAGCTTGGCATCAGATACAATCAGTCAGTTATTGTGGTGTGGGTATATCTTGCACCCCAGCCTGCGTAGGCAGGCCACTACCACTGCTACTATCTTGGTGAATACCCTGGATGTTGTTGTTAGCCTGAAGGGAAGGGTTGTGTTTTGGAAATGGAGGCAATTGCATTGGAGGAGGAAATATTTCTGATGGTCCAGTGTTATCTTTATGTGGAAATATGCAAATAGCAGGTCTGGTGTTACAAACCATACACCTGGGCATAACAGAGAAAGGATATCAGGAATAGATAACATTCTGAACTTCAGGCCTCTCAGGCTTGGATAGGTCTCACTCTGCCCCAATCTTTTTGATCAAAATGTATCTGGAGTAGAACCCTGAGTGTTGATCTTTTGTTGGCACTGTTACGATTGTCTTCTTGCGGAGAAGGATGTTAGCTTCTGTAAGGAGCTCTGGAGAGGGGACAGGAGGGTTGGATGATGGGGGTGAGGAGATTGGAAGAGAGGCAAACTCTATGACATATCTGTTTGTCATGATGATGAATACCCATTGGTCTTGAGAGACGTTCTGCCAAGTGAGTTGATGAGGGCTTGATTCCTCTGTTGGCTGATGTGCCAGGCATGGGCTACAGTTGTCAAAAGCCCTGCTTCACAGGTTAGTGGGGTCTGAGTGACTGAGATCTGGCTGTGTCCAATGGAGTAGGGAACCTTTCCCTCTGTTGGACAGCAGATTGACTGGCAGGCACGTAAGGATGCCTGTTGGGAATATGAAGGGTGAGGCATCAGATGACCTCTTCCACTGAATGTAGAGCAGTATGGTTTGTCCAGTTTTAGAAGCAGAAGGCGTAGAGGGGATGATTCCTAAGGTTTTAGCTGTACATTTGTCCTTCCTCATTTTATTGTTGGAGCTGAAGAGATCTGTGCCTTCTGGTGTGGGTTTCTGGAGGAAGTGCGGTGGACCTCAGCCAGGGTGTTGGTGCAGTGTGAGTGCTGTCACAAGGTTGCAGGATGCCCAGTCAGCTGAGTGCTTTGCCAAAGAGATTTGATGTTTGACACCTCTAAGACCAAGAGTTTTGCTAGTTTGCATTTTCTTGCTGAGGGTGAAAGAGGACAGCGCAAAAGTTGGCTTGAAACGCAACATAAAAAAAAACTAAGGTCATGGCATCTGGCCCCATCACTCCTTGGCAAATAGAAGGGGAAGTCATGGAAGCAGTGACAGTGTGACGTGCCTTGGGAGGAAAGCTATGGCAAACCAGGACAGCATAATAAAAAGTAGAGCCATCACCCTACCAACAAAAGTCTGCATGGTCAAACCAATATTATTCCCAGTAGTAATGTATGGCTGTGAGAGTTGGACCATAAGGAAGGCCGAGCGCCGAAGAATAGATGCTTTCAAATTATGGTGCTGGAGGAGACTCTTGAGAGTCCCTTGGACTGCAAGGAGATCAAATCAGTCAATCCTAAAGGAAATCAACCCTGACTGTTTCCTGGAAGGAAAGATACTGAAGCTGAAGCTCAAATACTTTGGCCACCAAATGAGAAGGGAGCATTCACTGGAGAAGACCCTGACACTGGGAAAGATTGAAGGTAACAGAAGAAGGGGACGGCAAAGGATGAGATGGTTAGACAGTGTTACCGATGCAATAAACATGAAATTGAGCAAACTCCAGAGGACAGCAGAAGACAGGAGGACCTGACAAGATGTGGTTGTGAAGAGTTGGACTCGACTGTGTGACTGAACAATAAAAATTTGTCATTGGGTAACATCTCTAGGCCATCCCATAGGAAGAGTTGATAGTAGGCCATGATGCATTGATAATTGGCAATTCTGAAGGCACGGACAAAGAAGGTATAGATTTTTCTGTTTACACTGTGTATCAATAGGGACTGAGAGTTGAGTGTCTTTATTCTTTCCTTGAATGTGGTCTATGAAAAAGGAGTTGGCTATGGATTGTTGGAAAAGAAATATGGCTTTCTGGCTTGGTTTTGTATTTTTTGGTATTTTATGTATTTTTTATATGTGCATGAGTGAGTGTGTATAGACCTGGAAGTCATGGCGACCTCTGGCTTGGGAGTAAACTGGCAACAAACTGATCAGTGAAAGACATTGTGCTCTTTCCTGAGGCCTGAAAGGAATTTCTTGTAGTTGCCTGTGTGGCAGATTTTTGACACTCAGGATGTGTATTTTTTGAAGAGTGCTTTTTTGTGCCATTTTCCAGGCACTAGGCTTTCTGGAGACCAAGGACTGAGGTAGACTTGTTGGCAGGTTGTGCAGGTTGAAGAAAAGATGGAGCTTCTACTAATGAACCTCTCTCAATGATGGCAGAGAGAACTGAGGGAAGGATACTCTGCCACCTCTTTATTACACTGGAAAAGGTGGGAAACAGCATGGAGTAGGGGAATGGAGTACACGCAGGTATTTTTTGAGCTTTCCAAAACCTCTCTGCAGTAGATCTGCATGTGTACAGTACCCACATATGACTACATATCTGGAGATTAACAGAGCACATTAAAGTCTCTTTATGAAAGGCAACACTCAGAAACTGGAGTTCATTGTCATGGTACCTGTATCATGAGTGCTGCCTTTCATAAAGAGACTTTAATGTACTCTGTTAATCTCCAGATTCCACCTTTGCATCAATATATGGGAAGCAATATATCTGTACAAAGAACTGTACAGATTTATCCACAGTCCAATGACAATTTTAATACAATATTCATAACACAAAATAACCTTAACAGGAAAAAAATCAGCCAGTTGTATGGATATATTATGCGAATGTCTCTTACCCCATAACCTGGAATTCCGGGCTCTCCAGCAGGTCCCATTAAACCTAAATACCCCTGTATCAGTGTAAGCAGTAAGAAGCATATTTTAATCACATTCCATTACTTAAACAGTAATTCACATAACGTTTCTGATTTGCAAAAATATATACTATACTCTCCAGCCAAAGTTAAGTATGTTTTTGATGAAATTATTTATATCATGAGTCTGGAGAAAGCTTACAATAATAAAATTAAGATGGGTAGCCACGTTAGCAGTACTGTCTGTAGCAGTAGAAAAGAGTAAGAGTCCAGCAGAACATTAAGGACTAACAAAATTTGTGGCAGGGTATGAGCTTTTGTGAGTCACTGCTCACTTCTTCAGATACAGCTAGAACGTCTTCTTCTTCTTATTATTACTATACTTATATCCCGCCCTCCCTGTGAATGGGCTCAAATAATCGTGAAGAGTGGAGTGATTTCAGATACTGAATGACAATAGCAGGCACATGACAATAGCAGGTAAATGACAATAGTTACAGTAGTTACGGTACATCAGAGCAAAGGAAATAACCACATTAAAAATTATTTAACCACCCCCAGTTCTCCTGGAGAGCAAGTAGCAGAGCATTCATAATAGAATGAGTCACCAGCAGTATTTTATTTATATATTGACTTCACTTATACCCTGCCTTTCTATCCAGTGGGGATCCAAAAGAGCCTATATTGGTCTCTTCTCATTCATTTTATCCTCGCAACAACCCTGTGAGGTAGGTTAGGCTGAGTGCATGTGACTGGCCAAGGTCATCCAGAAAGCCTCTGTGGTAGACTGTGAACTCGATCTCACAGAGACCAGCTCAAAACTCCAACCACCACATCAGACTCGCTCTTTTTTAAACAGTGAGATAGCAAGAAATGAACTTCCACCACACCTTCAACTAGGAGCCGCCCCCAATATCTGGAATGGCAGAGAACCCTGTCCCCTGGAGTCATCAGAAACAGCCCGCTCCAGTTGCACAAAGGTTTGCTGCCAGAATGATCATGTGACCAGGAGGAGTGGCGCTACTCCCATAATTTTCTCCATGCCGCCGGTGGAGTCCCAAACACAGTTCCAGAGAGTTTACAGCAGGGCAGGAGGGAGGGATGTGTGCCACCAAAGAAGACCACTTAATGAACAACAGTTACAGGTAAGTACAACCCTGTTTTCATCATCATGGCTTCTGTGCAGTCCCACATTGGGAAACTGGCAAGCTCAGTGAGTGAAGGAGGTGGGTGTGAAGCTCTCAAAGGAAGAGGCCATGGAGGACTGCCTTCTCACCAGTTGGTTGGATTCCCATATTAATTTTCACCCAGAACAGTCTTATAAAGGAGAAGGGAACTCTCTACAAGCGTTCCAACTGAAATAGCTGCAGGAAAGTGGCAAAGAAAAATAGCACTCTTCTGGAGAGAGCCATGTTAAGTAAAGTGCTATTGAACAGCCATGCACTCAAGACAGAGTGTGATAGCTTCTACCAACCCACAAGGATGGGTTGTGTGAAGACACTGATTAAGTCTTCTTGGAGCCTGAGAGAATAATACAAAATAGCCCAAAAACCAGAGCACCCCCCCCTGACATCACCAACATGCCACTTCTTGGTGACGTAGGCATGTTGCGTTTATTTTTGGTTTATTGCCTTTTTTTGCGGGGGTAATTTCCCCCAGTTTCTGATAGCCCTGAAGCGGGGGAGGGGCTCCAAACTGGGGGATCCCTCACCGCCAATGGGGGACTAGCAACCCTAGTAGAGAGGTGCAAGATCTGGTAATGAAGGAGTGATGCTTGCCACGTAGAAAAGTCAGAGGGTACTGCCACAATGTAGGAACGGAGCTGTTCAAATGACCAAAGTTGTGAGCCCATTGTGAGAATAAGCAGATCTGCACCATAATAATGAAAGCAGTGAAGCAGGCGTGATGTAGCCAAAGAAAGGATGGACAGGATGCATCGTAAATGAACCTTGTGCAGTTTGCAGAGCAATCTGCACAGCAAACAGCCAGAGGAAAAAACATAAAAACAGATCACTGTGCCAACAGATTAGAAGGGCATTCCCCAGTTACAGGGGTTCCTGTCAGGAAAGGAGCGAAAAAGGACAGGGCATGGAATGTCCAATTGTGGCAAGGCCAAATAGTCCAGGCCACGAATCAGAATACCAGGGAATTGGTCTCCTTTAGTCAATGAAAACATAATTACAGTGCATTCCATGACTATGTGGAGTGTTTATATGTGTTCTAGGTGAAAGTAGCTGTATGACAAACTAATTTTGCCGAAGACCATGAGTCGCTGGGAAGCACATGCCCACAGCTGGGTCTCCACACTATAGAGAAGGAAGCATCTGAGATGACACTAACTTCCAGAGTCTCAGAGTCAAAAGAAATGTGCTGAGAAAAATGCAGAATGATGCAGAATGATGCACATTAGCTGTCTCTCAGAAAGAAAGAAAAAATAAATAAATCTGGGCATTCCCTGAAGGGTAAAATATACACCAAATACACAAATTCTGTTATGGTGTCACATATAGATATGTAAAAATGGCAGAAAATGCAGAAGTGGAAGCAACCCCACCAAACACTTAATACCCTTAGTAAAATAAGGACTACTAAAGACTAAGAAAGGCAAAGGGAAACTCAACCGGTAAGGATCAGCATCCAACCATCAACAGAGCAGGGAAACCAATATAGCCGCCTCACATGAGCCACCCTAATTGCTGGCTGTACATTTTGTACAGCAGCCAGGGCATAATCCCAAACAAAGGGGAATATTGGAATTCTACCACTGGGAACTTCCATCCCAATGGCAGAGGGATTGTCTGCAGGAACAGCAGAGAGGTCAATGAACAAGACAGCAAAGTAAACATTTAAAAACTATAATACACATAATTAGATGATCTGGTCTTGAACACAGGCCTTTTCAGGTGCCCTCCTTAACACATAAAAATAGTTTGAAATAGCACCCTTTTTTCTGTCCCAGGCAACCTCCCTCCAGAGAAGAGGTGGGCAAGATCTTGGGTCTGAGCCCACAAAGTGACATAGGTATAAAAGAATTGTAGGAAACCTGTGAGTGATGCACAAGACAGCAGACCAGAGGATTTTTTTCTTGTAGAATAAATCACCATAGAGGAGAGATGAAACAATTTAAAGGATTTTTTTCTTGTATTTTTAGCATTTGTGTACGTGCCCGTGCCTAGAAGTCATGGCGACCTCTGGCGACTCCTACTGGTGACAGAAAAAGCAGGCAGCTCTGTTGTGTGAACCCCTAGGCTGGGGGTGTTAAACATATGGCCTGCAGGCCAGAACTCAAAAGAGCTCTTTTTCAAAGGCTTTGGCTATGTGCCAGCCTGAATAAAGGCATTTCCCCCCTTGGCAAGGTGTGATCTGACAGAACCTCGGATTCAAAGGCTTTTGCTTCCTGCCAGCCTGAATGATGGCACATTTTCAATTCTTGGCTTTGTCTGCTCTGAGAGGAGAAACCTGGAACTGTTGCCCGATAGAGCCTCCAGTTCAAAATGGCTCTTTTCTAAGGCTTTGGCTGATGCCTGCCTGACAGAAGGAATCCCTTCCCCCTGGAGGTGTGGGCTGGCAGAGACTGCCTGACTGAAGGAAATGTTCCTCCTTTCTGCCTTCTGTTGATTGGGACCAGAAGCCTGGAGGTGTGGCCTGAAGCCAGAGAAGAAGATAAAGGTAGGCTGGCTGTTGAATAGCAAGGAAAGAAGGAAGTGAGAAAATTGGAAAGACTATGGGGGCTTCCAGGAAAGGGTCAAAGAAAATAGTAGGGTAGGGGGAAATGATATGCTTTCTGCAAGTCCTTGTGGGTTCCCACTTGTATATTCTAATAATGAAGTGTAGTCCCATCTAAGGATACTTAAATCCAGAGAGTGGAGCAGTGAATGGATAAGATGGATCTTTCAACAAACCTGAAAAATGCCTCAGGTTTGCAGAAAAATCTGAAATCTAGAAACAAACAAACATGGGTAGTTAAAAATGATAAAAGGAGTGCCTATAGCTGAAATACACAGATGCCCGTGGCTGTTGCTAGGCAACCACAACAGTTACGCCAGCATTCTAGACATGGTTTCTGCTTGGCTTCTGTCAATAAAGGGTGAGGGGGGTATCTGGGGCTGTTTTGGCCTTTAAATGAGGACTCACTGCGACCAGGCCTGGCAAAACCACCAGGCTACTTGATACCACCTGAACTGTTTGACTCACCCAGGCTTGGCTGCTTGCTGCTGTTCAGAAACAGCCATCCCACAAAAGCCAGTGCGATGTAGTAGTTAGAACTTCAGACTGGGACATCAAATTCCCATTCTTCTATGGAAACCAACTAAGTAACCTTGGCCCAGTTACATATTCTCAGCCTAACATACCTCACAGGGTTGTTGTGAGGATAAAATGGAGGCAAGGAGAATGATACAAGCTGCATTGGGTCCCCACTGCAGAGAAAGGCAGGACATAAATGAAGTAAATAAATATGATGGTGGGGCAGATAAAAGGTAGATTGGTGGGTGGATGTAAGGGAGAGAAGAAAGTAGGAAAAGGTCTGGGAGCTGCTAGGATGAGAGAAAACGGGGTTCCACTTACTTGTAACCATTGTTCATCAAGTGGTCTTCTGTGCAGGCACACATGGGGGACTGCGTTTTTGCAGGTCAGCGATGGAGAGGAGTCTGCAAGCTTTATAGAGAAGTCTCTAGAGCCCAAGAGTGCTGCCGCTCCCCTCTAACTTCTGCATATTCTTTCCCCCCAAAGGATCACGTGACAAGGGAGAGGCAAACACTCTTCCCTCAGTTCTCCCTTCGCTGCCATGAGAAGTCTGCCTCAGAATTGAAGCTCACAGCAGGGAAAGGAGGGAGAGATGCGTGCCTGCACAGAAGACCACTCAATGAACAGTGGTTACAGGTAAGTGCAACCCTGTTTTCATCTTTGTGGCTTCTGTGCAGTCCCACATGGGAGAGAAGCAAGTTCACTGACTGAGGAGGAGGGTGTGGGCTGGATCAGTGGAAATCTGACTGTAAGACCACTTTCCCCACAGCTGCCTCACTCTGCGAGTCAAC